GGCGGGGGTGCGGCGTTGGGCGGCTCTGGCTCTGGCGCAGATCAGGTGCGGCGCTACCGAACTGCGTTCACCCGTGAGCAGATCGCGCGCCTGGAGAAAGAATTCTACCGAGAGAACTATGTGTCGCGGCCCCGCCGGTGCGAACTGGCCGCTGCGCTCAACCTGCCCGAAACCACCATCAAGGTATCGATTCCTACGCGCGCCTGCTTTGGTCTCCCCCGGGGCGTCTGGGTTGATTTCTTTTCCCTCTTTCTCCTTTCTGGGTGGCTAGATTCAGCGAGGGCCTGGAAATCCGCGAGGGTTGTCACCCAAGGAGTTGGCTTATTTCTTCCTCCTATGCCGAATCCTGACGGCTACCCGGCCTGGCTGGCCTGGGAAGACCCCAGAATGGCGGCGCCGGTGGCTCAAACCCGCCCTCGCTTCTGCTTGATTCTGCCCAACGCCTGCCTCCCCAGTTGCCTCCTCGCCCATGCCCTGGTCCCACTTTCCCCTATGCGACAAAGCCAACTGGTCTTTGTTCCTCTGGCACGAACCCGAAATGAAACTTCATTTGATTTTAGAGATTTATTTTTCACATAAATCGTTAATACATGGAGAAAAGGATAGTCTTTTAAAAATCGATTGGGCTGAGAACGTAGTTTCCTAAACATTTTTTTCCCCTCTCGGGAAAAGGTCAACCTCCTGGGGAGATAACGCAACGAAATTGTGTGTGTGTGTATTTATATTATTATTATTATTATTTTTATTATACGCCTGGCTGAGAGAGTCGGCAGGTTGGGCGACTTGGTAAACACTTAATGGAGCATTCAACCCTCTAGAAAAAGAGCAAACTTCATGGGATAAAAGGATGTGGAGGCCCTCCTCCAGTTTGATAGGGCTTTCTTTAATTTAGGGTTGTGACAAATGTCTTTATTAGACACTGTGTTAGGAGGGGTAGAAAAGTCCCCTTCCCAGTTTATGGGGACATTGCTTTCGCCACTCATTTAAGGCAAATGATTCCCACAAAATCATCCCTTCAATACCCTAATCGGACCCGTGCCCCCAGGGGCAGGTCCTTGAAACTCTGAGGGCTCAAGACCTGGCACCGCGACCTCTCAGAAAAACTGCGCCACAGCCTCTCTTCAGAGGCTGTTCGGAATCCCCGTGCAAATCCTGGGATTGAGAGTCCGGGTGCTCAGCGAGGCTGGACACCGGTCGGTGGGTGGTGGGAGGGAGAGGAAAGGTTGGGTTGGGACGAAAATATGCAGCAAGAACTAAGAAAGCCACAGTCCAGGAGCCGCAGCAGGCTGACTTGAGATAAAACTCTTCTTCGCTGAGGAAGGTGTGCCTACGGTGATCTACACATTGCCGTCCACACTGTCCCAACTGGGAGAGCAGAGGGCACTTGGGGCTAAGCCCAGGGTGAGAGGAGAAGGCCAGACCATTCGAAGGGCAGGGAGGGGCTGGGAGGCCCGGGGCGGGGACTGGGGAAATGGGGCGCTCCCTAACTCGGGCCGCGGCGCGGCTCTCCCCGCAGGTGTGGTTCCAGAACCGGCGCATGAAGGACAAGCGGCAGCGTCTGGCCATGTCGTGGCCGCACCCAGCCGACCCCAGCTTCTACACCTACATGATGACGCATGCGGCCGCCACCGGAAGCCTGCCCTACCCTTTCCACTCGCACGTGCCGCTGCACTACTACCCACACGTGGGCGTCACGGCGGCAGCAGCTGCGGCCGCAGCTTCTGGTGCAGCGGCCGCAGCTTCGTCGCCCTTTGCTACTTCCATTCGTCCACTGGACACCTTCCGCGCCCTCTCTCATCCCTACTCCCGGCCGGAGCTGCTGTGCAGCTTCCGCCACCCAGGTCTCTACCAGGCGCCCGCGGCCGCTGCGGGGCTTAACAGTGCTGCCTCCGCCGCCGCAGCTGCAGCAGCTGCAGCGGCTGCGGCCTCCTCGGCGGCTGCGGCCGGGGCGCCCCCCAGCGGCGGTTCTGCGCCCTGCTCATGCCTCAGTTGCCACAGCAGTCAGTCCGCTGCAGCGGCTGCAGCTGCAGCCGCCGCAGCCCTGGGCTCCCGAAGTGGAGGTGGCGGCGGGGGCGGTGGCGCTGGGGCCGCGGGGGGCTCGGACTTCGGCTGCAGCGCCGGGGCGCCGCGCTCCGAGAGCGGCTTCTTACCCTATTCTGCGGCAGTGCTTAGCAAGACCGCCGTGAGCCCGCCAGACCAGAGGGACGAGGCGCCGCTCACCAGATAACTACGTCGTGCCGCCAGGGGGCCGTGCCTGTAGCTCTGCGGGTGCCCGGGAGTCCCCTGTGCACCCCCTGCCCTTTCGGCGCGCTTCCCGCTGCTACCGCTGTCGCCAGGGGGCGCCCCGGGGTGCAGGAGGTTGAAAGGAACCTGCCGCGAATTGGAGGGAAGGAGTCAGCGCGAAAGCCTGGCGGGCGTCCCCCCAAATTATTTCTATTTTTGTATTTCCCAACCGTCTCTCCCCTCTTTTCCCTCCTCAAAATGTTTCCTGCCATCTGGGTCCCGCTTCCCACCTCTTTCTGAGCTCTTGGTCTCCCCGAAGACAATCCCCCTATCCCCAAAGAAGTTCTCCCGGGTCTTGAGCCCTGGCTGTGCGCCCTCACGCCTGAGTTTCTCGGTAGAACCACGTGGCCAGAAGCAATGCAGAACCACGACGAAGAGGGAATAGTGTGCGCTAACGCTTGTGGGAGGCGGAGTCACCCCCACCCCCAAGGTTTATGCTGCTGCTCTTTTTTTTCTAACATTTCCTTCTTTTCTTTAAACGAGGGTGGGAGGAGGTGGCAAATTTTCTCTCAACGTGAGTTTGTTGAGGGCTTTGTCAAGGAGAGCGGGAGAATAAAAGTGTGAGAAGTCCTGGAGGGTGGATGGAGAATGCGGGGTGGCTGCGGTGTGCTCGTGAGATAGTTAACTGCGTGCTGGAAACGAGATCCGTAAGACTAGTGACGGCCTTTCCGGGGAAAGACAAAGCCCAGGTGGGGAGAGTGGAGGTCGCGCCTCTTCCTTCTCCGTCCACCATTGTTCGACTGTTTTCTCTTTGGTGTTTGGTTTCAGTGAAATGAAAATGTCTGGTGTATTTTATGCAAAAGTTCTTGACTAGTGAAGTTGCCAAACCTGGCCAGGAAAGGGAACGGAAAAGAAGGCCAAGACTGACAGATCACTATAGTCTATTGGTTAGGCATTTTCAGTTTTCTAACTACCGGGTTCCACTCGATCTGGGAAATACTTGAATCTCTAGATATATAGTATCCTAAACATTTCCTTAAACACTTTTCTAACTTCGAACTCGCTATACTCCTCCACTCCTTCCCTCCTCGCTTTCTTTTTCCTCGGGTAAAATGGTTTTTGGCATACTTCTCACGCATGTCTATTGCGCCTTCCCTCTGCAAAGCCACCACTGGGTTGCTGAGACCCGCTCTGCCAACCCCAGCTACAGGAGGGGTTTCCTTGAACTTGAAGAAAGGTACATCAAAACCCACCAGTGTTAACTGCCACGTCAATTTTGATGCTAATAATGTGCAGATTATGACGAAAATTGCCAATCATGCTCTCTGATGGACCTCCTTTGAATGTGGAATTGTAGAAAAGTTCCCCGCACGGAGACCTGCTGTCAAGTACTAACAACCCGCTAAGGGAAGTCATTAGGAGAGACGGATAAGAGACTCGGTACATAAAACATTGTTCTTGGTGCATAGAATGTATGTTATTTAATGTTATCTCTGTTACCTGAAGTGATTTCGCAGAAGAAAGCCACGTTCTTATCATCTCAATTGCCAATTTTCATTTTGGTAACTTGGACGCCCTGGGTAGACTTTTCTCTGTTAAGTTGATATTCCACCAATGTGAACAGCCTCATTAAATCAAGCCCAGATATTTCCATAATGCTCCCCGCAGAGCCACTTCACTCCTCACATAATGAGATTTTCTGAAGAGTTGAAGCCCTAAAATAACTTGCTAGTGCATGTTCAGGCCCAACGAAGTGGGTATGTGTGTGTGTGTAT